TATATATATATATATATATATATAGCAGCATTCATATAGATCTGTATCTGCGTGCCCTCGGTGCACACGCGGCAAACAGCAGTGGCATTGAGCCACACACGCGCCTACATAGACACTTAGATGTATTAGTCGCAAACTACACTTCCACGTCCCCCGCCTCCTCCAGCGCCGCGTAGAAGCTTTTCGCAATCGGGCAGGCGCGAATGCTGTTGTCGCCGAAGTTCAGCAGTCGGATATTCTCCAGCCGTGTGCCGCGGCTGAGCGCAACGTACGCCTGCCCAGGGGAGAAGAAGCGGTGCATCGACACCTCCACATGCGAGATGGTGAGGCCCTGCGCTTTGTGCACAGTCATCGCCCACGCCTGCCGCAGCGGAAGCTGTGTGCGCGTCGCAACAACCTGATCGCCCATATACCACTGGTGCGAGCTCGGCGACACGAACGCGTACACATGCCGCGGAAGCTGCACCCCACGGTTGTCGGTGCTGCTACTGCTGGTGTTGCGGAGACTGAGGTGCTGCGGCTGCAAGTCTAGCTTCACCACCGGCAGCCGTGTGCGGCGCAGCTGCTGCGGTGTGACGCCCCCCAGGTACATCTCCAGCGGGTGCACACTCTGTGCCGCTGCTGCGCCTGCAAGCCCCACCAGCCGCTGCAAGGTCTGGTGGTGCGTGTTGCCGTACACCGCGCCATAGCTCACCTCGGCGGGCTGCCGCATGCCCCGTTGCCGCAGCGACCAGAAGAGCGACTGCCCAATCGCCGTGTCGACGCAGCGGAAGGCGTCGTGAACCGTAGAAAAGCCACCACGCTGCAGTAACTCCTGCCCGCGCGCCGACGCACAGTGCCGCTCGCGCGGCGCACGCAAGACAAGCTCGACGAGCTCGAGCGGGTGCAGGAAACCGACGACCTCGCCCACCGAGCCGTTCACCAGCCCGAGACGGAGAGAGATGTTCTGCAGCAACATCACACGTGTGCCAACCTTCAGCACGAGCTCCGTGGGCAGCGTGCTGTCCTCGAACTTCACCCACGACGGTGGGCCGCCGTCCTCGTCGTCGTACGTGTCGTACGCGCGGTACTGCATCAGCGGACGTGTGGTGTCGCTCTGGTCTGCTGCATCGTCATCGTCGGCGCACACGCGCGCAGAGCGGCCTTTATCACTATCAGCAGCAGCAGCCGCTGCGTTGGTATCCTGCAGCTGCGCGGGTGCAGACGTCATCATGGCGGACGCGCCGAGACCACACGGCTCCAGCGCGGCAAAGTATTTCGCATTGCGGGCCTCCACCTCCTTGTTGGTGGCACACAGCCGCACATACCGCTCCTTCTCGTTACCCCCCTCCGCCACAGTTACAGCATTTGCCGTCTCGTCCGCGAGCCCATGTCTCCTTCGCGACTTGGCACTGCCCCCCGTCCGGGCCACAGCGCGGGACATGAGCAGCTCGTGCGTCTGCATCGACAGCGTGCCGAAGCGCACATCGTCCAGCACGCGCTGAAAGGAGGCGTCGTGGTGCTGCCGGAACTTCTGCCGCAAGACGACAGTTGTCAACTCCAGCGCTTTCCACGCCTCGCCCTCGAAGCAGTACGTGCTGCGCCGCGGTGTCGCCGCCGCCACCACCACTTCTTCTTCGTCACCGTCGCCCTCACACCCGTTGCGTCTGCCTCCTCCTTCTTCTTCTTCCCGCTGCTGCTTCCACTGGTTGCGGCGCGGCGGTATCGGCGGGAGCTGCATGAAGTCGCCGCACAGAATCACCTGAATGCCGCCAAACGGCACATCGCCGCGCCGACGCATCGCCCGTGCGATGAAGTCGAGCTTGTCGAGCAGCTCTGGGTCCATCATGGAGACCTCGTCGATGATGAGCGTCTGACAGTACTTCCACCGCCCCGCGGCACGGCGGTTGCGGCGCACCCACTTGAGCAGCTCCCGCGCCTCGCCGTCGCCGAACTTCACGCCGGCAAAACTGTTGATCGTCGACCCGCGCACGTTCAGCGCCGCCACGCCGGTCGTCGCCGTCACGAACACGGAGCGGCGGCCCGCGTCGCGCAGCTGTCGCA